AGGGTTGAGTATCCTATCTTTTCTTCAAAAACTCCAGTGATGAAGCACCCACAACTCTGGGGGTAAGTTGTTATTATTTGAGCTGTGGTGGCTCAGTGGTTAGAATGCATTATTGCAGGCTAACTCTACTCACTGCCAGGAGTTCGATCCTGATCGGCTCAAGGCCTTCCATCTTTCCAAAGTCAGTAAAATGAGGAGCCAGATGGTTGGGGGCAATTTGGTGACTCTGTAAACCACTTAGCGAGGACTGTAAAACAGTATCTGTAAAACAGTATATAAGTCTATCGCTATTGCTATCTCCATCTTAATTGTGATTGATGAGGCTACCAACATTCCTGGGACTACAAAGAGAATTAAGAAACATATATATTCATTACCAGCTTATTAGACTAATTTTGATGCTCCACAAGGATATATCCTGGCTCCCCTTATAAAGAAGTATCTATTTTGCTTTATGCAATTAAGACTATTATCCTTCTTTTTACACAAGTCAATATTCAGGGGAGTTTACAAACCCTATTTACAAAACAATCTGCTAATTGCCATCATAAAAGGAAAGTTTATGCTAATCAGACCAAGCAAATTATGACATTTAAATATTTTGGAATTTTCTTTCAATATTCTAATGCTTAGAAGAATCAAATCTATCACATATAAAACTTCTAATGCTGTAATTAAGTCAGCAACATTGTGGAAATAATAATGTTCCTGCTGCAATTAGGCTACTCATATTTAATACAGTACTCAAATCTACACCCATAGTTTAAGAACAATGTTTTGCCTCTCAATTGTGTATAGAATGCAATCTTGATGTTGATGCTCAGATGTATATCAATAGAGACATGTATAATGATCAGTTGATTGAATGTTGGTTAAAATTATTTGGGGAGGGGAGATCCTTAATTTATTGATTATAACTGAAGCATTGTTTCCTCATGGAAAGAAAGAGCAAAGCCTCAGATCTGGCTCAGTTGTGTCTTCCTCAATTATACTTACCAAGTTTAATGACATCTTTGCTTCTGGGAAGATAGATAGCAACATTCTCTTCCAAGATCAAACTTGCCCTCATGGGGAACATGCAGTGGAAACTAAATCATTGCCAATTTGTTGAGCTATCAATTCTACCATCTGTAATGCTCAGAACCAATATCTCTCCTTCTTATTTATCACCTTGCTCTATGGAAGTGAATACAGTTTTTCTATTAAGGCATCATTCCTTAGAAATCACAAAGTATTGCAAAAATTTGTTCAGCCATGATGGCTGTATGAAAACTCTGAGTTTAAATAGGATATTATAGGTCATTTTCATGTTGGAAAGCTATTAGCAATTTATTTTACCTACATGACTTATTGCATTGTTTATTATATGGAAGTTGATCTATTACAATGAATAAACACTATTTTGGGGCCTGTTAATTTAGGCCCTAGTCTAAAAATGAACACATACTCAAACATGACAACTTCGACTATTATTTTTATCTATGCTTACACTAAAATAAAACAGAAAAGATTATTTTTTTAAGTCAGAAATCTAGACTTCAGATCTATCTGGGAAAAGTAGGGCCAAGTTTCTTCTAACAAGGATATTGTGTCTTCAATAGCTGCTGTTTACATGTGAGACAATCTTATTGCATCTTGTGAGTGTCCTGAAAAAGTTTACCAGGTCTTTGTAATGCAAGTTAACTTACCCAAGCAGACAAAAATCCTAACAATTAAAAGTAGGGAAATATAATACAATACAAATCAAACAAAGCAGATATAACAATATGACAGTAAAGGTGTGTTCCTCATGGAAGTATAGTGTTTTCAAGCATTGCTGGAGAATAATTATTTAACAAGATTAAAAAGTTGGAGCCATTGGTGACCCATATCCAATGTTCTCGTTACCTTCTGATATCGATACTTTTACTATTATTACTTGTTTATTAGCTTAATGTCACACATATAGTATATTCATGTCAGTGACTTTATTCTACAATAAGATCCCTGGTCAGCATCTACTGATATATTACCTCCATATGATCCACAATATTCCAATATTGCCAATCTGATTTAAACATTAAAATATTCTAAATTCATTTTGAACAGATTTAATTAATATTGAAAGAACTGAAAAAGTATATCTGTCAAAATATATCATACCACAACTGCTTACTCATGTAAACTGTATATCCTAAGTCTGGTAATTTGATATAGATGAGTTCTCATCCTCTTTAATTTCTATGTGATGCTTATTTAATATATATTATTTACATATGTCATTCTGAACTCATTTTTCTCTTTTTGTTCCAATATTATGACATCCTTTTGGCTGATTTGTATTGCAGTTTTATATTCATGACACGTGATCACAGCCCCAAAAGTTTATATAAATTAGTATATCACTCAAAAGTTGCATCATATTCTATTGGAAATAGTTTGTCCCTAGACAAATAAGACTTGCTGCATTTCATATGCTAAATAAATAAATAAGTAAGATATAGTCTTAATAATTTACCTCATCCAATGCTGAGTCCAAATACTAGTTCCCAGGCTCAGTCTTGGTCAATGATGGATACAATAAAGCAGTTTTCTTCCACTTACTATTTTGCAATTTTAAAAATCTACCAATGTTGCAATTGGTTTGTAATATTGAGCTGTGTTTCATGGAGTACACTTATCTATGTTTTGCTTAACTATAATTTATCAACTAAACCACAATTGGCTGGATTTCCACCACATATGTTGCCATAAAATGGTTTGTTTTATTTTGGTTTAGAGTGTTATGTGAATCTAAATGTCCAGTGTTCAAATCTTTTTCATAAAGAAATTATTTAAAGAGCCTCCCCCCTGCAGGTCCCAAATCCCCAAGCATCTAGAACAATTAGTGTCTTTCTCTGAGCCTTGGGTAAAGTTCATTGGCAGCTACGCTGGAGTGCCCCTTTCAGGTACAGCAAGAAGAGATTGGGAAAGGTTATGACAAGGTTACGACAAGACTAGTTAATGCAGAAGGAAGCCTGTGGGCTCAAATATGATAATAATTCACAGAAAACATTCCCTAAGTTTCAAAGCTAAGATCAGGAATACCCTAAAATGGTAGCGAACCTATGGCACGTGTGCCACAGGGGCCACGTGGAGCAGTCTCTGGTGGCATGCGAGCCATTGCTGGGCTGAGCTGCTCTCTCTTCCTCCTCGCGCATGTGCAGTTCTCCGCACATGTGCAGTCTGGGAATAGGCGAGAGGCTATAAAAGGAGCAACTTTCAGCGGAAGCAGCATTTGCTGCAGACAGCGAGAGAGGGAACACGAGTTGGAGTGGACAGCAAGTGAGCAAGCACAAGCTGACAGCTTGGGGGCCATGCCCACTCAGTGGCCACGCCCACCCGGCAATTCATAAGCGGGTTTTGGGTTGCAGTTTGGGCACTCGGTCTCTAAAAGATTCGCCACCATTGCCCTAAAAGATATATTTAAAATAATTTAAAAAGTTTGCTACATCCTGGAATGAGTCATTGGTACAAGTCTAATTAGAAAATTTCTTTAAAATAGTTTTAGGGTTAGATATTAAGATTATTTTCTCCCATTTGATCCATGATTCTTTGAATTTGGGGAGAACAACTGAAATAATGACTAGAATCATGAACAATATACTGTAAGACTAAAAGGTAGTTTGCCGAAAGAACCCAACCAAAATATGGCTATTTTACAGTTTGTTGTACGGATCCAAGAGGCAATGATATGGTTAAAAATTGGAAAGAAAAACGTGGATATAAAACTAGAGAACAGGTCTGTAGTATTCTTAATTTGTTCCTCGGCTGCGAAATATTAACAGTTCAGTTGCTTTCTCTGTGGGAGAATAATCTTGAACATGCTACATAAAAAAGCAACTTATAGCTACCGTAAATGCCGGCGTATAAGGCGACTTCCGCGAGCGCTGAAATCATCGCCAAAGACGGGGGTCGTCTTATACGCCGAGTCGTCTTATACGCCGGAAATACTGGTAGTTTCTGGCGTATAAGATGACGTTCTAGGAATGCGGCCCGGCTATAAAGACGGGGGTCGTCTTATACACTGGGTCGCCTTGTACGCCGGCATTTACGGTATATACATTTGCTAAATAAACCTGCAAACCTCAGACCCCATACATCTGTATACCAATGTTATGCCATATGAATTAAGATCTCAATCAAATCTCATTGGAAATTCTGAAATAACATGAATATAAAAATGAACATTTTGGAATACCAGGGAACATTGGAAAAGAATTTTGAGTAATTTAGGTGAATTATACTATAGCAGTCAGAGATATCCCAAGTTAACTTTTTCTTTATATATAAGATCTTGTATTAATAAACACAGCTAAAGTAGAGCTATCTGGTTATAGCTACTAGAATATGACTGACAACTGAGAGATTCTAATAATATATATTTTTAATCCTAAATTGTATATCCAGAAATAAGATCCTTGACTTCAGTAAAGCATATTTTTTTTTAGGGTGGTGGTGTTCCTTAGAGTCAGAATTTACTTTAGATATTGCCTGGATTAGACCCTGCAGTTTTCTTGGCAAGGTTTTTCAAAAGTGATTTGCTATTGCCTCCTTCCTAGAGTTGAGAGAAAGTAACTGACCCAAGCTCATCCAACTGGCTTTGTGCCCAAGGTGTAACTAGAACTCATGGTTTCTCGGTTTCTAGCCTGTTGCCTTAATGGTTGTATACTGAAGCTTACTGCCTGGAAAGTGTATATTGAATTATAGCCTAAGTGTTAGCACTCAGAAAAACCTGACATCTGTACAGCTCTAAGGCTGTAAAAAGTTGCATTACTTTCTTAAAATCCAGTATTTTCATTAGTTTTGGGTGAAGAATTAAAGGGCCCTTCCTAAGTAGGCCATCCCTGCTGCAAGATAAAACATGCTAAACAAAGTTCAATTCAATTTTAAAAAAATGCTTGATCCATCCTCCCTAATAACTATCTTGCTTGAACATCAATATACTGAATTCTTTTTACAGTTAATTTTAAATTAAATACCTTTCAGGGGGTAATTCTTCCATTGCCATGTCTTCAAGCAAACTAGGAAAGCTTTGCTCCAATTCTGAATGTGAAAAAGGTGACATTATTTCCTGGATATCTTGAAAACCTAAATGTTCTTCTTTGGGTTGATTTAAATAAGCCATATCCACATCTGTCCATACAGTTTGTTTCATCCCTTGAAGGGTTTCTGAATGCCGCTTTACATCAGGTGACTGAATGTCTATGCTGGCTTGTAAAACTGCATCACAGTTGTTGGTGATTAACATGCTTGCAGTATCTGCTTTAGGAATATCATTAGAAAAACCTGGTCCTTCTGCTGTGCTCAAATTGATGTCATTTGTTTTTTCTATACAACTCTCTTGAACATTGCTGGATCCCAATTTGGACTCAACAGGACTTACTTCATTTTTAAAATAAGTAATTAGCTTATGTTCTGCTGTGTCCTGTCCCTTCTCTTCCTCTATGGACCAATTATTGCTATCTATGGCATCCAGTACTGTAACAGCTTGGTTCTGTAATGTATGTTCATTGGAAAAATTCAGATTTTCATCAAGCAATATCCTGGACTGATCTGTTTGTTCTTTATGAGCATCAAGATCATCTCTAAGAAATGACAGTGTTGAAATCTTGGCTAGCTCAGTACTGTTGTCACTATTTCCCTTGTTGATGTTTTTATTTCCATCATACATGAACTGTTCTTCAGGTTCATCTGTTTCAAAGTTACACAGATTAATTAAGTTACTTTCCTTTACTTCAGCAGCAGCGGCTGTGGCATCAAAATCTGGAACAACTTCAGGAATTATTAAAGATTCTTCATTTTTAGGAGAAAATGGCTGATTCTCCATTTCTTGGTTTCCAGAACTTCTAGATTGAAATTCTACTTTTTCTGTGCTCACTTGATTCTCAGCAGTATCACTGCTTAAAGAGCAAAGGTGATCATGAAACTCTGCATTTATTTCATGACTGCATAAGCCATCCACTTTAACTAACTTGGGGAAAGTTGCAAGAGAGTTTTGGTTTAAGCAATGTTTGTTGATAGGGATCTTTTCTGAAAAGGCACTTGGCAAATCGTATTCCTGACTGTTTGCCAGCATTCCTGTGTGTTCTTGTTCCTGTGCTGTTTTCTCTTTAGTGATTTCAGCCTCCAAAGGCAGTATGCATTTTTTTGTTTTCCAGTCATTCTCTGCGTCTCCATCTTCATTGTTTTTATCAGCTTTTTCCAGTTCCTGCTTAACCTCTATTTCTTTACCTTCTGAACTGACCCTCTCATTCAGACTCTGTTCAGTGGCAAGGTTAGGCAAATTGGCAGGCAAGGCATTTGGTACTACCTGTTCAAATATTTTGCTAATATGTTTTCTGAAATCAAAAAAGCCAATGCTGAATGCCCTGGAAGATGAAATATCTGGTTCTTTTTCAGATATTGCTGCAGGCTGCCTGGGAACATCTACTTCAATCTTGGGAAGGTTAAATTTCTCTATAAAATCACATTTGCTTTCTTCTTCATTGTTACTGTGCTTGTTATCTTCACAACTTATATTTGTAGCAGTGTCTTCCTTACAATTTGCTTGCTTATCGAGTGACGACAAGTCCAAAAACTTCCTTTCTAAACTTGAAAGGCTGAGTAGAGATTCTGCTGAGCTGTTAAGTTGCTGGGCTTTGAAATGTACATCACTTTTATCCCCTTTTAGTTTAATTGCCGAGATCTCATCCTGCAGCTTCTTGAAATTAAATGGTGACAAATTTCTTTCAGATTGCCTGATTTCAGAAACATCCTGCAAGGTTAAAACATGCTCTTCTGAAAGGAACTCTTGGCCTGGGATGCAAGATCCTTTTCCTGGAACAGCTTCTGAAGGAATATCATCTAAATTCATTACTTCTGGTTTCCTTTGATCAGTTGTGCTATTCTCTACAAAAGCATCATCTGAGTCAATGGGTGTAGCAGCTGCAGTCTGCAGACTGGAAGAGGTATCGAAGACATCTTGACATGCCACAGCTTCTGGTTCACTTTTTTTAAATTCAACATTAGGGCTATGATACATAAAGTCTGCAGGCTGGCAGCTTACTTGGCTGGGTTCATTATGTAGAAGTGCTGATGTTGAAAGAAGTCTTGGTTCTGCTTGAGAGCTAACAGATAGGATGTCAGTCTTTTCAACAGGGTATGTTTTATGCCAAGCATCACTCAAAGGAACTTCTGGACTATTAGGTAATCCAGGAGGATGTTCATCCATTCCTATGTTTTCAGAAGGCAAGAAAGTTAAGTCCCCTTTGCAAGTTACTTGCTCATCTTTCAGAATAGTTTCATTTATTAAACTCAGGTGCTCTTCTATCTCTGTATGTAAACTTTGTTCATCCAATTCTGGTTCTTTGCTTGGTAAGTTAACATCAGTCCCATTATCCTTAGAATGTTCACCTACACAGGTTAAACTCTCCTGCAGGGTTTGTGCCTGTTCAGTACTGACACTAGCAGTTTTCTGTGTCACTGGAATAAAGTTTGTAACGTCAGTATTACTTGTGTATTTGCTGTCTGACAGTTCATCTAAGCCACCCAACTGTTTAACTGTAATAGATTTTTCAGCAAATGCACCCCTCTGGCTTGCTCCTTCCAAAGCCCCATCTGAAAACAGAGAATTAGAAAGGTCTTGCTTTAAGTTGTTTAAGATTTCTTTGCTAGGATGATTTTCTTCCTCCAGTGAGTTTAATACATTTGGCAGGTTGTTGTTTTGTGTGGGATTTCCCACAAATTCAGAAATATGTGTTAAAGATGCATTTTCATTTAATAGATTATTTGGTTTTGCTTCTGGCCCACCAAGTACTTTTTGGAGCTTGTGTAGTTTGTCTCCAGTTTGTTGTAGTTCACTTTTATCAAGCTCTTCATGGCCAGTGAAATGATTTAATTCCAATGGGTGTAGCCTCTCAGGACATGTCTGGTTAGAGTTCTGTCCCTGGGAACTCCCAACTGCTTGAAGACCATCGTGATCCAGGTCTTTATCTTCGGGGTCTGAAATATGCTGTTTGTCTTCACTTGCCTTGCAGATGATGCCAGAGGGCATTGAGCTTTTGTCTGACTGCACTTGGGGAGATGTCATTAAAATGCCCACCATCTGTTGATTTTCCACAGACTCTTTAGGATGAGTTTCTAAAAATTCTTTGGAATCATTGCTCATGAATGGACAATTGTTTGTCCTTAGGCTATTATCACCTAAGACTCCAAGCTTTAATGGCTGGGGACTGGTTTCTGCTCCAACTACTGATCCTGAAGGGCTGCCAGAATAATCATGTTTTATACAAGGGTCATTTTCTTCAGTTGCTTGTTCCAGCTGCACTTGCTGTGTGGAGTCCAATTTGATATGGGTTTCTTGTGCCAAAGTTGTGTCAGTTTCTTGTTTTTTCATCCCTGTTTTGCATTCCTCCTGTCTAGCTTCATTACCTTCATTCTTCCCCACAGCACTGCTTTGTTCAGCAGTAGTCATAGGTACAGAGTTTGGGTCACTGCCAGCTGTTGAGGCACATCTTTTATTTTCAGAGTGGGTTTCATCCTCTAGAATGTTTGTTTTCTCAGTTGCAAGACATTCAGCACTTCTGGCCTGTCCATTTAAGTTGTGGGACTCAAGTTCTGTTTTAGATACTGCAATTATTTCTGCATTTGAGGCATTATCCTCTGAATTTATTTTATCCATCAACTGGTCTTCCAATTCTGATTTGGTTTTTTGAGCAAATGGCTGTTCCCAGGATTCCTCTTTTTTATTTTGCATAATATCGTTGTCTTCAGAACGCAGAGACAGTGAGCCATCTGCAACCTCATCCTCTTTATTGACTGGAAAGCAGAGCTGAATATCTTCTACACTGGAATTTAAAAGATCACAAGTCTGCAAGCTGTCTTTTCCTTGTAAAAGTAATTGTTCAGAAGACTCAAGACTGGCTACATTTTTTTCATTTATAGTTGTGGTTTTTTGCTCCAAGTTCTCACTTAATTCTGGTGAATGATCATTGAGTATATTCAGATTACCTGCCAAACTGAGATTCTTTTCTAAAATGTTGCCACTGATATTAGTTTCTAAACCACTTACTTGAGAACTCCAATAATCATCCAAGGCAGCATCTGGACTGATCTGTCTTGAATTCATATCAAAAGTTATTGATGTCTCTTGGGGGCAGTTTATATCTTCATGTATAACTTGACTTGAGGATGGGACCTCTTGACATCCATCCTCTTTGTTTCTGGAAGAAACAGCTATTATAGTTTCTTCTTTATTATACTCAGCAAGGTCATTCTCACTCATGAAATCTCTTGTTCTTCTGTCAAGTAACAACAGTCTATCCCCAACAGATTCTTCCTTCACCATATACATAACATTTTCTGGGTCAGCTAAAGCTGTATTTCCCTTGCTCATAGATTCGGTTTGTATGATTTCCTTTGTAATCTGTTCTGGTGTGTTCTGAGATGCATTTGCTTTTTGCATTTTGTTTTTTATTTCTGGCAACAAGGATGCATCAGAAGGTTCCACGCTAACTGGTAAATCGACACAATAGAGGTTTGGTTTTGGACCGATGGCCTTTTCTAGCCATTCCTTTCCAGATGAAAAGTCACCAATTGGTTGTTCTGTCATGGTTAATGGTAACAGGTTTGACATGTTTGAGGACAAACTGGATATAGTAGGAGGATCCTCCAGCACCTCAGTATTCTTTTCTGGAAATACTTGGAATTGACTGTCCCCTCTGTTCACTTCACTGTTGCTATCTTCGCTGATGACACTTCTGAACTCAACAATGCTCTGATCAAAACCATATTTATTAATGTCTGAATTTCCTGTTATGAGATTATTTGGAATACAGTTTTCTTTTTTCATTACCAAGTTGTCTACATTACCTGTGTTCAGTCCCACTGGTTTTATTAAAGCCTCTTCCTTGTTATTCTCTTCTAATTTAGTCTCCTGTCTGATTTCTTTAGTGGTATAAGAATCTCTGCCTTTCTCAGTCTTAGGCAAATGAGCAATGTGTGCCTTCTTTCTTTCAGTCAACAGTTCACTGTGTTGCAATGAATCTAATTCACTGGAATTGCTTTCCTCGGTTTCAAGTCCTGATGTCCAAGTAGAATCTGATGAAGGAATCTGTTCCAAAACAGTATTATTTGGATCTTCCTTATACTGTCTTGTAAAAGTAGTGGCATAATGGTCAGCATCTGTTCCACTGACAAGAGGTACGATTCTTGTGTCTTTGTCATTCACAATAGCAGGGTATAACACCAAGGCAGGCAAACCTCTAGGGATATTTTCAAGGCTTAGTGCAGTACATTCTTTACCATGCTCAGAAAGCACTGGCATATATTGACTTTGAGCTTTTCCTTCTTCTTCAGTACATTCTAAGGAATCTCTCTTATGTGGGTTATTCTCCAGCACTGTCATATCTGGATATGCCACAACAGTGTTTTCACTGATTGATCCTCCAGCAGTGTTACTGCAGAGGCCTTCATTATTTAGGCTCACTTCCAATTCAGTCTCCTGTCTGATTTCTTTAATGGTAAAAGAATCTCTGTCTTTCTCACTCTTAAGCCACAGGTTAATGTGTGTCTTCTCTCCTTCAGTCAACAGTTCACTCTGTTTCAATGAATCTAATTCACTGGAATTGCTTTCCTTGGTTTCAGATCCTGGTGTCCAAGTAGAGTCTAATGAAGGAATCTGCTCCAAAGCAGTATTATTTGGATCTTTCTCATATTCTCTTGCAGAAGTAGTAGCATAACAGTCAGCATCTGTTCCACTGACAAGAGATACAATTTTGGTGTCTTTATCATTTATAATAGCAGGGTTTGACATCATGGCTGGCAAGCCTTCAGTGCTCCTTTCAGAACTTAGTGGAGAGCATCCTTCACCATGCTTAGAAAGCATTGGCATCTGTTGCCTTTGATCTTGTCCTTCTTCTTTAGTGCCTCCCAAGGAATCTCCCTTGTGCAGGTTTTTCTCCAGTGCCATCACATCTGGTTGTGCCACAACAGTGTTTTCACTGGTTGATTCTTCAGCAGTGATACTACAGAGGCCTTCATTATTTAGGCTGCCAACAATGGAAACATTTATTCATTTCAATTTGGCAATAAATTCCACATCACAGAAGTTTCAAAGCCATGCATGCACATGCACTGAAAAGCTATCTGTTTGATTTCATGAGGCAAGAGGTCAGAGGCATCAATGATATAAAATTTCTGCAAGAGAATCATTAGATGCAAATATATTCCTGTAGCATTTATTTATTTATTTGATTTTTATTCCACCTTTATTACTTTATAAGTAGCTCAAGGAGGTGAACATATATAATACTCCTTTCATCTCCTATTCTCTCCACAACAACATTATTTTGTGCTATTGTATTAGACATTTGAATTTATGGAATTGTCGGTTGGTTCACCTGATGTTCATGATAGACTTAAAATTAATCCTGATTTGAATACAGAATATAGAAAAATTATCAGACCAGAAATGAATTTTAGATGATATGACCACATGTCTCTGGATTTTAAAGCTCTTCCAGTTTTAAGTTTAATTTATATCATCATTTCCCAGTCTTGTACTTTTCAAGTATGCAGCAACTGTAACTCCCAAAATTCTCAATGGAAATTCTGGCAATTATAGCTCCAATAGTCCATAAATACCATTTGGATTTGCGAGATCTAGTTTAGACTTCTATATTGCATCCTTCTGTATGTAATAAATTACAGCTAAAATCCCAATCCAATTTAGTATGGAATAAACGCAATGAATGTAGCAATACTGAATTCTGAACAAATGTGTAGGATGCTTACCAATTCATGATATGCCTTTTTACTCTAAGACCAATTAAAATACGAAGTATTTTCATCTACTAGAAAGCCTCACCAAATAACATTCTGATTCTTATTCTACATGTTTCTCTGACTGATTCAGTTCCAATGAAACAGCCTTAAGTTGCTACTATTTCCATAATTTGATAACCATTTTCTGTTTTCCGCCTACCCTGAGTGATCTCCCTTCTTAAATTGAAACTGATCAGTTGTTCCTTGGTACTTCACATCATTGTTCCTCCCAGTCAGCAGATCTTGCCTGCAAAAATGCAGATGATCATTAGAGGGCAGCAAAGCTCAGGGTAATATTTTGCTGCAGGCTTGAGGTCTGGATTGTTGCAGTCCAGATCTGGTAGGCCTGTATTTGCTGTCAGAACCTCCCATCTTGACTTTTGCAGGATCTGACCTCACCATATTTGCTTTATGCCCAACTGTTTTATGAGTGCTGATGCATTTCAGTAGTTGGGAATGCAAACTATGTACTACTGTAGCACTTTCACTAGAAAAATGGAGAATACTGTATTCTGCCTAGATAACAATCAAGTTCAGGTCCAAGCAAGTTACAAGACATCAGATTGAATATAGATTACCAACACTGTAAGATAACTCACTAGGAATTCAATAAAGCTTCTCTTTTCACTGCCTTCCTAGAATTCAAAAATAGAAAAAGCCTTCAAGTAAAGTGATGGTCACAGTACTTGGCTGGGGATATTCCACTCAATTTAGTAGATTTAAAACTTATAGATCTGATCTATGTTTATCTATAAATCGAAGCAACTCTATATCTAGTATCTGTAATTAGAGTGAACAAGACACCTCAGAACTTCACGCCTTGGGTGAAGCCCTCAGAACTATTGCAAAAATTAGCACTAAATTATAATTATTAATATAACCGAAGGGGAAATTATTTAATTCACATGAAACAATCATATTTACAATATTTAATATAATTTTAATTTAGCTTCTTTCTGTAAGATCCATTTCCTCGTCCTGGTTCCACCTCATTTTTGTAGCGTAACTCATGGCACATCATTGAAAATCAAGAGGAGTCTCCCCCTCCCACTTTATTTTCAATTTACTCTCAATTATTGATTCAATCAGGAATCAATTTTTATGACTATTCAAAAAAAATGCCTTTGCTGTTTTTATTTGAAATATATGCTACAGTCAGCCAGGCATTTCATTCTGTGTGCTTCTTACCAATGTTAGATTATTAGAGAATATGTTTAAATATATTGAGGTGCCTCATGAGAACAAACACAAAATAGATTATGCTGCACATAAAGTTTGACTTGCCACACAAACACGCATTTACTTTCAAATATAGCATACAGGGTTAGACAATTGGACCTGATGTAATAGCTGGAATGGTGGAAAGAAATTTAGCAATACTTTCAGAATACATTTTACTTTTCTTATACCAGTATAAGAAACTGAATTGAGCATCATTTTTTAGACTGAAGAAACAATAGAATACTAAGAATCATCTGAAGAAATAGAAATGTCAACACCATCAGACTTCCAGAGAAAGCAGAAAGCAGAGGCGAGGGCCAGGAAGAGAAGAGGAGCCACTAAATAGACAGGCTCCCCAAACTTCTCTCAGATCAGATAGAGGACCAGGTAGCCTGAACAATTAAGAACAAAAAGATAAGAAAACCAAGACTTCAGAAACATGCAAAATTCAAGCAGCACAATGTCATTCAGAAAACCAAAATCTAATAAATAGTCAAAAACTATGTAAGGGAAACTCAAAAAGCCAGAATAAGCTTATCTATGGTTGCATTTTTTTTAAAACCTCCATAAACAAGATGCAAATCCAAATCCATAAGTACACAGAAAAACAAGAATATTTCCTCAAATTAACTATACCTGGACAGGAGAGGATTCTGGGTCCTTAACTCTTCATTTATGTCAATCCCAGTAAAAAGAAGATTATTTGGGGCTAGGGATTGGTGGGACTCCCTTTCCTCCAAGTCAGACACTATAGGCCAGTTTCCACTGCCAGAAAAAGAAAAGGGGTTGTAGAAAAAGGAACAGATTCACAATTGTTAATCCCAAATTTGAAATGGAAAAATCAATTTCCCTTAGAATATTATCATGGTAGAGTCAGACATTTGTGATTTGAATCAATGCACTTTTAAGTCTTCCCATCCTTTTTTTTAAATCTAGACCTTCACTCTCTTCCCACAGTAATGAAGGTATGGAGTAGGAAATTAATCTGTCCAGCTTCTCACGCTGGACTTGGAATATTATGACATTTCATAAGTTAGCTTGATTCTTTGGTTCAGTTTGGTAGAAGACTTACAGAGACAGCTTGGCTAGATAGAACTTTTATTGCGGACAAGAATAAATAAATAAATAGGTTGCCTACTGCTAGTGAGAAGATCAAAATTACTTTTATACCATTAGAGGCATAAAAAAAATAAACTTGTGACTTCTTCCTGCCCTTCAAACTGTCAAATACTTGGTGCATCCTTTTGGAATTCTTGAGATAAAATGGTTCTTGTATATTTCCATAGGGGACATCTCTGGTTTGGGAATTGCTGGTTCCTACCTGAGCCCTCAGAGCAGTGTCCCCATAAATGGGCAGCCTTGCTCTTTAGCTGAAAAATCTGCTGACCTTTGCTCTTTTGTGCTTCTAGAAATTATTCATTCCCTCCAGTTCATTTTCTACCTCAAGCCTCCTACTGAAAGAAGGCCAGGCTTTCCAGAAAGGAAAACTAGCCCAAACCCCCAAACATTAATTTTTAACTATCTGCCACATGGGAAACTAATATATATGTATAATATTATAAAATTTGGATTTTAACAAAGAATTAAGGGAGAATGGAATAGCTATTTCAAACTTTTCAGTTCTCATCAACCAGACATACCCTTCTGAGATTCGAACCTGGGCTGTCTGCATGTTAAGCAGCTGTGTTAACCTCTAACCCACAGGCTCTTTCTCACTTTTGTCAGCTGTGTCAGGGAGGGAAGAGACAGGGGGAGGAATTACCTTGAGTGCTTTTTGATGCACCCTGCCGACCCAAATATGGGAGAAAGAAATCTTTTGCCTTTTATCAGCTCAAACTAGAGCCATCCACAGGCAGCAGTCGCAACTGCGACATCATTTATATTATAAAATGATATTATTTTTGAGTGCATCAAAAAGCATTCAAGATAATTCTTCTCTATATATATTATACACACACACACACACACACACACACAGGTATATTTTAATAGCAAAGTTTGTAGTACTACATAAAGCACGTCATTATTTTATTCTTTCTTAATTCAAAATAATTAATTTCCTGTTCATTAATTCCCAGGTACTACATTGAATAAGAACCCTTAGGTTATCATATGCATGTACTGAAATGATATTAAAATACTACTACATTCTTGTATTGCCCATGAATATAAAAAGGGAGTTAATTGGGTAGTAAGTGACTTTTAATTTGTAATGTTACTTGAGTTACTGTGGTAAATTTCCCAAGCAACCACTTCCTGGGCAACAGTCAACTTTAAATGTGTTATGCCTTCCAGTTACTTATTTCACTAACAAAGTAAAAACATCTCCTGCCTACCTTGTATCTTTTGCACTTAATGAGAAACTATCATCTGGTAATGGCAATGAAACTGCAGAATCTGATGGCAACGTGTCCCAGTCATCTTGGTTGAGTGATTTGTCTCTGCTCTTTTTCCTTGACTTTTTAGTTTTTATTTCTTTTTCAGTACTAAGTGGCTCTGTTGATTTTGGAACTGAAGGGCCCTCCTGGGAAAGGAAAACAAAACATGAGTTAAAAAGCAACCAACCAATAGAATGAATACTTACTTTTTTAATAGCAAAATAAAAATTGAATCCTTTATTAATGTCCTATTTTAAAGTTGCTCAAAGACAAATAATGAATAAACAAATAATCGTAAAATAAAAGTCTGCAACTGTGTGTTGTGTGGGAAGATGAACAACTATGTGACGCTCTTAGCTGGCTCTTAGGAATATATATCCTTATCTCTTTTTCCAGCCCATTGACCATTTCCTTTTGATCAGGAAATCTATTAGTATGGCAGAGAGGAGAAAAAGCTGTCCTTCAAAATATGTTTTTTAAAATGACAAAAAAATATACTTCAGAATGAGGGTAACTTGTCAATGGTATTTACATAAGAAGAAATCTGTGGCATTTTAAAAATTATTTTTAATGTTCTTGTGTTCATATAATACAAGACTTTCTGTTATCTTTGTTGTAATAGACTAAACATTCAATATATATCATGTTTCATGATAAAAACATGAAACAATAACATGTCAGTTTCAAAGAAAGCTTTCAGTTTTAGTAGAGTGTTTGTTAGGCCATTGTAATAATAAACTGAAATATTAAGAATCATATGCATACAAAATATAATGCTTAAACAATATAATAAGTACAGATACTAATCTTATTGGACTCAGTGCTTCTACATTTTATTTTGTATTATAATTCCCATTGGATTATCCTTTTCATTTAGACTACCGTAGGTTTATGATGTTTCTTCCTAACCATGGACAGCTGAATTAATATACATTTTTGACAGCAGGATATCTGAGGAACATTCGGTTGGAATTTTTCCCCTTCAATATAGCTTAAACTTCCGGTGGTTAAGCGACGATGATGGCGGCTACTTTGTAGCCGTCCTCCTGAGACGGTGTCAGATCTGCGGAGCACAGCGTTCATCAGCTGGCCCGCAGTTCGAAATCCCCTTCCTGGGTGAAGGGAAGGGGTAGAGACTGCAGGAATAGAGGTAGAACCTCCGAACCTCCTCTGGATTTCTTCTTTGAGGGGGCAGAAGGAGCGCTCCCTCGGAGTTCCTGCCTTCTCCGCCTCTCAGCTGTCTTTGTTTCTTCGGAAGCAAAGTGAAACGCCGCTACCATCTCCGCATTTAAAGTTTTCTGGTGAGTGATTTTTAAAGCGGACAGAACTGTTTAAAGGATTTTACTTAGAGTTAGAGATTTATTTTTTTTTAATTCTTTTCTTAGCCTATGCTGATTTTTTTTTTTTGATATTTTTTTTTGGGGGCGGAAAGTGAGAGTGAAAGTAAAATGGCGCTTTGAAAGTTTTTTTTTCCTATCTCCGGAAAGAAAAGACGGACTGAATGAAATGCATGTTTAGCATTGCTCTTTTTTTTCTTTTAAGTTTCTTTTTCTTTTTTCTTTTAAAGTGCTTTGGAAGTTTTTATTTTTATTGCACTTTTCTTGGTCTTTTTTCATTTGTAAAGATTTAAGCATTTTTTTTTCTTTTCTAAGAAGAAAGAAAGAGAGACTAATTTTTTTTAAAAAAAAAATGGCTTCAAAGAGACAACCAGCCTCTATAGTCTCTAAGGTGATTTCTTCTCCTGTTATTGCAACTGTTCAACAACAACTTAAAGTAACACCACCGGTGCAGCAACCTAAGGCTACATCTCCACCTTCTCCTCCCCCATCAGTGTCTGCACAAGACATTTAAGATATAATGGGAAATGCTGTGTCTCAATTTAGGGAGGAAGTGAAGCAACTTCTGGAACAGAGCAAGTCTGAAAGTAAGGAGGAAATGAAGAAAGAAATGAAGGAGCTTTTTGTACAGAATAATACTATTTTGAGGGAAGATATAGTCTCAGCTTTATCTGGATTGGCTTCTGTGGTCGTGAAGCTGGACTCCAGGGCGGAAGAAGTCGCAGAAAAAGTAGATTTTCTTGAGTATAAATTTCAAGATATGGAAAAAAAGGTGGAAACTTCACAAGATGATATTCTTATGTTTCAGTATAGACAGATGGAATATGCTTGAGAATTAGGGGTCTTAAAGAAGATATGAATCAAGATCTGATGGAGATGGTGATCAATGATTTAGCTGTTGTCTTGAATATAGATAAAGATGAACTATGTGGAGAAGTGGAAAAAATTTACAGAGTTAACTCTTGGATTGTGAAACAGAAGAATCTGCCAAGAGATGTGGTGATTTATTTTGCTAAGAAGTCTCTGCGCAATCAGATTTTACAAGCTTTTTATAACAAGAGATTTCAGATTGCTGCCCAAGATATCATTATCTTAAAGGAAATCCCATCCAAAATTTTAAGAAGCAGAAAAGATTTTGCTTTTTTAGCAAATGAACTTAAAACAAGATTGATGCCATTCAGATGGGAGATTCCGATGGGTATTGTTTCGAGCCATGCGGGGATACGTTATAGACTTAATACGGTTGCTAAAGCTAAAGAATTTTATAACACGGTCCTGGGAGCAGGCTCATCTTCATCCATGACTCAGAGAGCTTTGAGTGATAAAGAGGTGGAACAGCAGTCTGAAGGACTAGGTTTGATGGCTGCTGGGCAGGTGGAATGGATGCGTCAAGCAGAGGTTAAAGAACAGAGAATGACTCGTGCAGCACATAAACGTAAGGAAAAGGAACAGCAGAAGAAAGAAGCTAAAGAATCTTCTCATCAGATTGTTTCGATGCCGGTGGGAGGAGCAAGACTTAAAAGCTCTGCAACACATTCTTCACTAGCAGATCTTGAGGGAATCTTCTCCAGGCTCCTGGTTGAGGGAGATGGCAAAGTTTCTGACCTGGAATGTTAACGGTCTTAACTTTCCCCAGAAGAGAAAGAAAATCTTTCATTATTTAAAGCAACATAATAATGACATTATTTGTTTGCAGGAAACTCATATTCTACTTAAGGATCAAAAATATTTAGCTAATGCTCGCTTTGGATCTCATTTTGTATCTCCTGCCCCTGGGAAAAAAGGGGGTGTGGTGATTTATGTTAAGCAAAATTTACCAGCTTGCTTGATAGAATCAGATCCTCAAGGAAGATATGTTATGATTGAACTTGGCCTATATGGTAAGAAAATACTAATAGTGGGATTGTATGCACCAAACCAGCAGCAGGAACAATTTTATAGGTTGTTACATCAGAAAATAACCTTGTTGGATTATAGATCAGTGATATTAATGGGAGACTGGAATGGTGTTCTAGATACACAGAAAGACAAAAAAGGTTTTTCTACCCTCTTTAAACAGGCTAAACTACCTAAAGCTTTTTTTGATTTGAAAGAAGATTGGGAATTGAGAGACTGTTGGCGTGAACGTAATCAGGAGGAAAGAGACTTTACCTTCTTCTCAGATAGACACCAATCTTTCTCAAGGATTGATTTCTTCTTGACTACAACAGACTTATATAATAGGGTGAAGAATGTAAAAATTTTTTCTAGGTCATTGACAGATCATAGTCCAGTTTGGATGGAACTGGTTGCTGAGAAAGAGGAGAGGAGATCCTGGAGGTTGAATGAGAATTTATTTAAATAAGAAAAAAATGTTCAAAAATTAAAGGAATGCTTAAAGGATTATTTTGTTTTAAATATGTATAAGGGAACATCAATGTCAATGGTATGGGATGCAAGCAAAGCTTTTATGCGTGGGATTCTGATAAAAATGAATAATTTTCATAGACAAAAGCAGATTCGGAAACGTAAAGAATTGGAAGATGAGATTAAATTAAAAGAGAAGCTTTTAATTTCAAATCCTTTAGATGAGAAGGTGAAAGGAGCTATAAGGTTTATGGGGGTCTTGCAGCAGCTTATACACAAGGATCAATCGGGTTTTATAACTGGAAGGTATATGAAAAATAATGTTAGACAAATTATTAACTTATTAGAATATTTAGATAAAAACAACCAAGTTTCTGCAGGGCTGATATTTTTGGATGCCGAAAAAGCCTTTGATCAATTGAATTGGCAGTTTATGTTATGTTTAATTAAGGAGATGAATTTTGGACAAAATATATTACAAGCTTTATCTAATATATATCAAAAACAGACTGCTCAACTTATTGTTAATGGGGGTTTGTCAGAGGTTTTTACAATAGAAAAAGGGTACAAGACAGGGATGTCCATTAGCTCCGTTATTATTTGTTTTAACACTGGAAATTTTGTTGATTAAAATTTGGGAGTCTCAAGAAATTAAAGGAATAGAGATTAATAAAAAAGAATATAAGTTAAGAGCTTTTGCAGATGACCTGGTTGTGACTTTGTCTCAACCTACTCACTCGGTAGTAAAATTATTACAATTGATTCATCAATATGGGTGTGTTTCGGGCTTTAAAATTAATAATAATAAGACTAAAATATTACCTAAAAATATGACTAACTGTGATAAACAGACCTTGGTTAATTTAACAGATTTTGAAGTTGTTGATAAGGTAAAATATTTGGGGGTTATATTATCTGCTTCTAATGTAAAATTGTATAAAAATAATTATGAAAAGTTGTGGATTGGGGTACAGAAGGATTTAAAGAATTGGAATAACTTACAGTTATCTCTTATGGGTAGAATTGCAGTTATTAAAATGAATGTTTTACCAAAATTTCTTTTTTTGTTTCAAATGTTACCTATCTTAAAGAATGAACTTAACTTAAATGAATGGCAGAAGGGTATTAATAAATTTATTTGGGCAGGGAAAAAACCGAGGGTAAAACTTAAAATTATGCAAGATTTTCGTGTGAGAGGTGGACTCAAGGTACCAAATTTGAAATTATACCATGATGCTGTGGTCTTAACATTAATTAATGATTGGGTAAATTTAACAAATGTAGAAATACTCCACCTAGAGGGTTGGGATTTACTTTTTGGATGGCATGCCTATTTAATATTTAATAAAAAAGTGGACCGGGTCTTTAAATCTCATATTATAAGGATTTCTTTACTTCGGGTTTGGAGGAAATATTACAAAAGTGATTTTAAAATACCATTATGGGCTATACCTTGGCATGCG